TTGCTTTCCTGCCTTGTTATATTTCAAATCTCCAGAGAATAAAGATTCATTTGTATAACCCTCTGTCCTGGCATAGAATAGGTCAGCAAGACCCAACTATGGTGCAGCCCCATCCATGGCTCTGCTTTACTCATGGTCACATTTTCCCCCCACCACTCTACAGTCCCTCGCTCACCCCCACTTCCCCTCACCTCCTAGGCCCAGCCCTTCAGTCTCTGATGGAGACTCTCCTGGGAAGAACAGGACCCCCTCTCCTGGCAGACACTCTGGTCCCATTATGCTTAACCCCTGGATGGTCCCTTGTCTATGTTGTCTCTCCCCTTGGCCTAACCCAGCTCTATAGACACTGCCTGCTGCTCCCCTTCACCTGCACCCCACTTCCAGTTTTGATTCACAGAAGCACAGAAGATCTCTGCACTTGTTTCCAGTTCTCCTTTGGTCATTGTCTGCCCTTCAGATACTTGGCTGTATCCTCTGATCTCAGCAGGACCCCATGATGGGGTCCCCGGGGCGCAAGAGTGGAAGGAGGTCTGGGGGATACTGGGACACCGATGTGAGAGAGGCTGACGGGCTTGCCTGGCTTGAAGGCAGCTGTGGGGAGGACATGGATGTGGCGGCAATTGGGGGGTCTCAGGAACTGAGGAAGTGAGGGAGGAAGACTCCAGACCCCTGACCAGGGAAAGGGGTACCTACACGCATCTGAGCCCTGGGGTATAGGAGAGCTGGATGCTTAGAGAACAGGACAAGGTCTGTGGCAACTCTCTATTGGGAATGAAACTTGTAAAAGCTGGGCCTGGAAAGACCTGTCACAAAATTTTGGAGTGTGTGGGGAGCAATCTTTAGGTCTCTCTGTTTTAGAACCATTTGCAAGGCTGTGACTATAGATTGTGAAGAGCCCATTATGCTGGCGGCTACCTGGGGTAAGCTTGGTCGAGAACTGAAACACCAGCCACGATGAGCACAATATAAGACCAATATGAACAAAAGAAGAATAATCAAGACTAGAGTTAGGGCTTCTACTGACCCATCCCATGGTGGTGACAAATTAAGGCCAAAGTCAAAAAAAGGGGTATCAGGATTAAGCATAGCTCTCCGAACTTACCACCCTGCAGTTCTGTATCTGCCCCGTCCCCCGAGGGGTCTCCCGAGGTGCCGGCGATGTTAACAAGTTCCTGGGTTGCGGCACCAGATGTCCCGCGCGATCGTCTCGCCAGCAAGAACGACACAGGACACTCGGATCCTTCTGCAGTAAAGCTTTAATGCATCTTGAGAGACAGATGATCAGCTTCCGATTAGGGAGACGCTGAGCGAAGAATCCCGTCCCCTTATAAAGGCTCATAAGCTCCGAGCAGTGCATGTACAGCTGGGATAGGTGGATGACTCATCACCCTATATGACACCATGGGAGAGGCAAGGCTAGGCAAGTGGAAAAACACTGTGCACATGTGCACCAACGTTATTTACTTGATCTGGCAGCGGATGTCAGCGCCATCTTGTAATGGCGAATGTGAGTGCGGCTCCTCACAGACATTTCCATTAGATAGGTCCTCATAGTGACAGGTTATAACTGGCATGGGTTATAACTGGGAAAGAATTGGGGATGCTGGGAGCAAGGCTTGGGCTGAGGTGAGTCCATTATGTTTCCCTGAAGAGGTGGCTGACCTCAGCCAAACATAGAAAGTCATGTCGGTGACGAACTCATGAGGACATGAACAGAGCACTCAGGCTATGCTCTTTGGGACACTTGCTGTGGCCCCTGCTTTTGTTTGTCTCAACTGACCTTTCCAGGCAACCACCAGGAGAGGGTCCTTCTTCCTAGTTTCCAAAAATGGACTCAAATAGGTGCTGGCTTTGGAGATGGGTCTAGGCTTTCTAGAATGGGGAAGTGTGGCTAGGATGCTAGGTTCTAGATCTTAGCACATGCATCTTACTGATGCATCCTCTGATGGCTATTCTTGGTTGTCAACTTGACTACATCAGGAATTAAAAAAAATGAATGGTCACAGCTGTGAGAGATTTCTTCTTAATTAATTTATTTTAAGTAGGAAGACACAATTCTAATCTGGAGTAGAGGAATTATGAGTGAGTGTCACTGGCTCCTCACAGACTTACCACACAGAATTTAGTCACCCTAAGCCAAATGACACCTGTGATTTCCAAACATAGCTCTAAGTGTGAGCCAGCAGCTCCTTTGACCATCTCACCCTCCTATTGGCACATTTTCCTAGCCTATGCCAGACTCTTCTTCTATCACAAACCCTGCCTGGCCCACTTCTGTTTTCATCCTAGACTGGACAAAATCTATATATCTTCTAAGAGGTAGTAACCAGAAGTCTGTCCCCCAGAAGCTTTGCTGACCTTTTCTTTGGTATATCACATCCCCTTCTGTGCCTTTTCTTCTAGGGCGCAGAGGGAGACAGGCTCTGAAGTGGGTGCACTCTGGATCCAACCCATGGGCTGTCCAGGCACTCAGATGACACTAAAGATTTTCCTCTAACAAGCCTCCATGGACATTACCCTGGTTGTTCCTCTCATCAAAGAGGTTATTAATGCTTCCAAAGCAAGCAAGTAGTTGCTCCCTTGTTTCTGGAGGAACAGTGTTCCTTGTACTCATGAATGCTTGTCATTTATTAACAGGCCTGTGTCTGGTGTCCAGACTGGAAGTTTTCTGTGTTGATCAGTGTTTGGATTTTTAGAAAGTCTCTAAATTCAAAACTGGATATACTTAAAATGGAATCTGTGGTCTTTCTTTTTAAAAAGAGTTTCATGAAAGAAACAGTATTAAATGAGCTAGCAATAGTGAACATTAGCTCAGTATCATTTCATCCCTTTGATGTCATTCCTCCATGCCTAAATAGCCCTGATGATTGATGCTTTTCCTGCTTGGTTTGTGGCTATTCTCTGTAAGCCCCCACTGATTCAGTGAGGTTTTCAAGACACCTAAGACCAGAAGAACTAGAGATAATCACATTGTTTTAGAGATAAATATCATTTTCCCTGTTGTCTAAATCTTGGAGAACAAATACCATCAAAAGAAAAGAAGCTGTTCCTGATGTACACTAGCAATTGTAGACACCCAGGTGTTTGGAGGTGTGCCTGCCTCCTCCAGGCTGGTTATATCTGGCTCAAGTGACTTTTTTAAGGGTGTGCTGTCCTCTGTGAAGATAAAAGATGATAGTATTGGTCAGAGGAGCAAGGGTATTTCCAGAGAGTGGCAAGAGGACGGTAAATGCATATCAGTTCCCTGGGGAGCAAAATGCCTAGAATTGGTTTGAGAATGGTCTACATAGGCTCACATATTTCAATGCTTGGTCAGTGTTTGGGAAGGTGTGACCTTGTGGGAGAGAGCCTGCCTTTGGGAGTAGGCTTTGAGGTTTCAAAAGCCCAAGTCATTCTTAGTTCTCTCTGCCTCCTTCTGTGAACCAAGTTGATACAAGCTTTCAGTTACTGCTCCCCCGACTTGCCTACCAGCTGACATTCTCATCACCATGATGGTTGTGGAACCCTGTGCCCAGAAGTAATTATAAGTTGCATTGTTGCCATTGTCTTATCACAGCAACAGAAAAGAAACTAAGGCAGCAGGTAAAGGCACTTACCACCAAGCTTGATGTCCTGAGTTTGATTCCTAAAACTCCAAGGTGGAAGAAAAGAACCAACCCCCACAAATTGTCTTCAGACCTCCACCCATGCTCCATGACATATATGCACCTATACATTTGTACACACATGCATTAAATAAATAATTTTAAATAAGAAATATAAAATAAATGTATCACAGTCTTCAGAGAATGAGAATGTTGATGATTAACATTTAAATAATTAACTTTTTGACCTTAAAACAAAGCATATATCTAGGTACATATGATTCATTCCGATTTCTCAGTAATATCTGTGGTTTTCTGTTGGGATCCAAATCTCAGGGCTTGGCATGAGATTCTAGGCCATGCTTGGCTGGACACATAGTTGTATATTAACCTTTACATAGCAGCTCCTTAGAACCTCATTCAGCTCAAGAAAAGAAACAACTTGACCCAGTCCTCCACCCACAGGCTCAGTCAACCCTTCCTGGACCTCTTACTCATGAACTCTTTACCCTGCCAAACATCTTCTTTGTGGCTTCTTTATATCCTGCCTATACTAACA